CCACCATATAGGTCACACACACACACACACACACACACACACACACACACACACACACACATACACACAACAAAGTGAGAAAACACCCTTTGGAGTGAGAAGTATACTGCAGGAGGGAAAAGACCCCTTTGTTTTTACAGAACATCCATACCCTCTGGTTTCTCCTCCCTGGAGTAAAGGCCCCAGCCTCAGGAGGTAGGCTCTGTAACCCCCAGGTCTCCCAAATTCCCCACCAGAACATATTTCTGAAAAGTTCTTTAACCAAATGTTTTCCTGAAAACATCAGGCTGGTGGTTCCTGACAGTAAAATTATCCATACAGTGTTAATGCTCATTCACAGAGGGTTCTTCTATAGACTACTATAGGCAAGAAGGAAAGACAAATGTGAGGACCAGCCATTGAACCTTATGTTGCTAGAAAAGGTAAAAGCAAAACCCAAGTGGATTAGAAAAGACATGTTTATGTTGGCATTAATAGAGAATATGAATACTGGATTTTGATGACATTAAAAAATAACTTGAATTTTTTTTTTCAATATGGTATTGTGCTTCTGCCTTTTTTTAAAGCACCATTTTTGGGAAGCATAACAAAGCATTTGCTGATAAAATGATATAAAGTTGGGGATTTATCTCAAGATAATCTGAGTTGGGAGACTATGTAAATGAAACAAAATTGTTTGTAAATTGGTGATTATCAAAATAGGATTACAGTACCTGGGTTTCATTATCCTATGCACGTTACTTTTATGTAGGTTCAAAATTTTCCATATCAAAAATGAAAAACAAAAGGAATCTTAAGGGCTGGGGATGTGGCTCAAGCGGTAGCGCGCTCGCCTGGCATGCATGCGGCCCGGGGTCTATCCTCAGCACCACATACAAACAAAGATGTTGTGTCCACCAAAAACTAAAAAATAAATATTAAAAATTCTCTCTCTCTCTCTCTTAAAATAAAAGTATATTTTTTAAAAAAAAGGAATCTTAAAAAGAGCAGGGTAGAACTAGGGATGGTGCTCAGGGGCAGAAGGCTTGTTTAGCATGCGTGAGGTCCTGGGTTCAATCCCAGCACCAAAACCTCCCCCTACCAAAAAAAAAAAAAAAAAATGCAATCAAGTGCTTTGAGAGAAGAAGGCCCAAGAATGCCGGAGGGTCTGTAGGACATGACTAGTCACCTACCTCAGCAGAAGCCAGGTGGGAGTTGGCCAGGGAAGGCTTCCTGGGGGAGAAGACTTTTTTTTACTCTCTTGAAACTTAAGTGAGGGGCTGGGGATGTGGCTCAAGCGGTAGCGCGCTCGCCTGGCATGCGTGCGGCCCGGGTTCGATCCTCAGCACCACATACCAACAAAGATGTTGTGTCCGCCGAAAACTAAAAAATAAATATTAAAAAATTAAAAAAAAAAAAAGAAAAGAAACTTAAGTGAAGTTGGGGAGTGCCAGGCAAGGGACACTACCTGTCCCTGGGACTCACAATTGGCGTATTCTTTCCTATGCTGTCTTGTTTCACTGCCTAACACATGTTCTGCCCCAAACTTGCCCAAAGGCCCCAGCCTGGTAAACAATCAGTACATTCTTCTCACTCAGCTGGAGCTGGGGAGACAGTTACTCCATCATGAAGCTCCCTAGAATTGGATCAGTCAGTGAGTCAGTCATCAAACACCTATAACCATAATCATGTTGTACAAACCTCTGTGACAGTATTGGGCTCAGATCATAGCAACAGGTGCCCAGCAGCACTCATACTGCCCAAGAACCTAACTGGAGTCCAGAGGAAGAAATAAACATTTGTTTATTCTTCCCTTTCCCACTCCAAGCTCCTTTTGCTCCCCACATGAACTGTATCACCCATCCCCATCCCTACCACTGAATTAGCCCAAAATATGGCCTATGGGTTGGTTTCTTGTCTTAGCTCAGTATGTATACATATATCTATAATTGCTTCTATGTTCACCTTTCCAAATAACCAATATTTGGTTTGATTTGTCAAAGTTTGTTACATTGAAAGTTTCCTTCTGTGAGTTGGGGTTGCAGCTCAGTGGTAGAGTACTTTCCTCGCACGCAGGAGGCCCTAGGTTTGATCCTCAGCACCACATAAAAGTAAATAAATAAAAATAAAGATATTGGGTCCATCTACAATAAAAAAACATTTTTTAAAAAAGTTTCCTATTATCATTTTCTGTTTTCTTTGGTGCTATGGTTTGAATATGGTTTAATTGAGTCCCCTCAAAGGTTCATGTGGGGTGGCAGTATGGAGAGGTGGTAGAGACTCCTAATGGGAGGTCCTAAAGTCATTAGGAAACTACTTCTCTGGAGACCCCTTGAGCTCTTGTTAGAGGATTCTTGTAAAAAGAGCAAGTCATTTTCAGGATAACAGTCCTTGGAGCTCAGAAAGCCACTTACTGTTGCCTGGATGTGGGAGGAAACACTGAGGAATCAGGGGAAGCCCCTCTAAGGAGACAGTTCCTGAACTGAGCCCTTAGGATGATCCAGTTAAGGGCCAGTCCCCTATTCTCCTCTATGACTAGGGTTGGTGATTTGGAAAACAGACCTGGTGTTGAGATCTCTCTGGCAGTTCAACTGACCTTTCTATCCCAGAGGCTGTAACCAGGCCTGGTGGCTCACTTCAGTGCTTTCTCTTTTCTAGAATGATGCAAAGTAAAAATATCAGACACCCAGGTGTGCTTCCATCCTGATTGGGTCACTTGGGACTCAGGAAGGGCAACGTATCAAATGTACATGAGATACTTTGCTCAAATTCTTGTGCCTGGCACATCCCTGAAGGTACTGGCTAAAGAGGTGTGGAGCAGGGAGGGACTACATGTTGGTTGGAAAAGTGTCCTACTGATTCTGAGCACCTAGATGGGCCTGTTCAGTAACCATCCTAAGGAAAGCATTTCATGTCTGGGACAGGATGTCTTCTCACTCTAGCACTCAGCTGTCTTCACCTGCATGTGTGCACACAGATGTATCAGCCCTGTGGGAAGCAACAGACAGGGGCCAAACCATGATCCTGGTCAGGTTCAGTGGAGGAGACAGTCAAGCAAACCAACCATCAAAACAGGGTGGCAGTCCAGTGCAGTGGTTGAAACCTGTAATCTCAGCTACTCAGGGGAGAGAAGCAGGAAGATGGCAAGTTTGAAGCCAGCCTTGACAACTTAGTGAGACCCTGTCTCAAAATAATAAAAAATAAAAAGGACTGGGGTGTAGCTCAATGGTAGAGCACCCCTGGGTTCAATCCCTAGTACTGGGATGGGGGACATTTTTGTAGCTCACAGTTTGGGAGGGTGAAAGCCCAAATGGCATAGAGTAGCAGGCTTGGCAAAGGTCCCATGGCAGATGGCAGGAGTGAGTCACTTAAGTGGTCATGTCTCCACTGGGAAGCAGAGAGAGCTGCTGAGGCCAGCATGGACACAGTATTCATCTGTGGAAGGATCTTGCCATAGGCCCACTTCTGCAGAGCCTCCTCCCATGAAGATGGCACACAAATGCCAATTATTGGTGTTGACTACAGGCAAAGGCTGCCATATGGGAATCTATGATTTCCACTTGCTTCTAGGAGTATTTCTTCAGGCATCTTGCTCAGAACAGCCTGTGTGGACTTGGTCTGCAAACCCTGACAGCCCTTTCATCCTCTCCTGCTGCCTTGGGACAGCCTTGTTTGTGCACTGGGTCCTCCAAGCTGATTCAGTCTGCATCCTTTTACCAGATGGACATATGCGAGATTAAAAAGCCCTCCAGAGGGATGAGAGAAGGCAGGGGCAGGTGGGGTCCTATGTCCTACCATGTCCACAAATGGGCAGTCCTCACCACAGCCTCATGCTCATGAGACCAGGCGTGGGCAGAAGCCTAACAACACAAGTATAAGGGAGCAGCCATTAGCACTAATGAGGCAGGCGGCCTGAAAGCTTTTTACTCGGAAGCTGCTTGCCCACCCAGGGAACAGTCTGTCCGTTCAGCTCCCTTAGTTTCCAGGAACCCTGCGCAGAAAGGGGTTTGGGAACAGGAGAAGGGGGTGGGGATCTTGGAGAAGCCTGGAGAGAGAAGGGGGAGGGGATGGCAGTCCAGAGATGTAGGTAGAGGGCCTGTTTTTGGCTAGGTGAGCTTCTTCCACTCTTCTCTCTTCAAAGAAACCCAAGGTCTAGTTCTGTACCCTACCCCTGCACCACAACAGCCACTGGCCCATCATTGCCTTCAATGCCCTTGACCCAAGTTCCTGGAAACAAAGGAAACAACATGCTTTATAGGGGCTGAGTGAGCATTTCCGGGGCCGCAAATTAAATTATACTCTCCTAGCCGCCTGCCTTGTTATTGCTAATGGCTCAAGCCCAGTGCATCCCCTAGGTCCTGGTCCTATGGAAATTTTGGGAGCCTGGATACCCTATCTTGTTTCTAAATATTAATTGGTTCCTGGAGGCCTCACCCAAAATTGGAGATGGCCACTCCTCTAGGAGAGTACCAAAATCTTGAGTTCCAGTGAGTGAGCCTGATCTGTGCCCCCACCCTCTAAAGAGGGCCCCTCATGACTTAGCTGTAGGGTAGAGTCACGTGTGGGTCCTTCATTAGACCCTGACATAAAAGCTGAGGGCACAGTTGGCCAGGGACTCTCTAGGCAAGGAACAGCAAGCAGAGGTAAGTCCTCAGGTTGGGTGGAGAATCCTACTTTCCAGACATCTACAAGGTACTCCAAGGATGAGGAAGGACTAAGTGGTGGGTTTTCCTATGAGCCAGGCTATGCTGACTGCAGTGCTGCTAAGCTGTGCCCTGCTGCTGGCATTGCCAACCACGCTTGGGGCCCAAATGGGATTGGCACCCCTGGAGGGCATCAGAAGGCCTGACCAGGCCCTGTTACCAGAGTTCCCAGGTGAGTAGAGCTGGGGGATCCTGAACTCTCTCTGGCCACAAACTTGCCTGCCTGGCATAATCCTTCCTTTTCCCCTTCCCAATCCCAGCCCCGGGATTGTGCATGGGGGTCCTGTCCTCACATTTTCTGCCCCAGGCTTAGGCCTGCAAGCTCTGCTAAAGAAGACGACTGCAGAACAATCAGAAGAGGCTCTGCTACAGAAGGCAGAAGCTTTGGCAGAGGTAAGCACTCAGGGAAAGGGTCAGGCTGCAGAGGGGGCATCAGGTACCACCCCTTCTCCCCACCTCTGGACCCCTTTAACAAGGGGCGACACAGCAGGGCACCCCTCCCTACACTCCATTGCCATCTTGCACAGCTTAGAGCAAGTGAGGTGCCTGAACCTGCCTTCAGAAGCTTGCGCTCACTCTCCTGTTCCCTTACCAATGCAGATGCTAGACCCGCAGAACCGTGAGCTCCGTTCCCCGCGCCGCTGTGTAAGGCTGCACGAGTCCTGTTTGGGACAGCAGGTACCATGCTGTGACCCGTGCGCCACTTGCTACTGCCGCTTCTTCAACGCCTTCTGCTACTGCCGCAAGCTGGGTACGGCCACCAACCCCTGCAGCCGCACCTAACAGGCTGACGATTCAGCAAACGGGCATACGAATAAAGGATGGGATCAATCCCAAAGCTGTGGTTATTTCGAACGTGGTCGTCGAGGCGGGGTTGGGTTCTTGAAGGGATGGGGGTGTCGCCAAGTCAAGAAACCACATACACCCTTACCCCAGGGCTTCGCCTATCCCATCATCGGAGCCACATATACGCGTGCTTTTAGAGCACCAGGCACCTTTGCGGGAAGCAAAGGGGGCCTCAATACAGCCTTGGAAAATCTTCTACATCAAATGCGGGAAAAAGCTGGGCGCAGCCCAGCCCAGCACGGGGGCTGTAACTCCCAGGTAGAGAATAAGCCTGAGTCCAGGACCCACTTGCGGCTAAATGTGACCATCTGCAAAGCCAGCCCCCACCGGACCTCTTTTCCCCTGGTTTAGACTCAACAGTGTGGAACCTTTACAAGTATAAGAATCATCTCCCTCTCTCACTTTTACCCAGCCGGCTTCTGCAGTATCTGGTGCACCTAACCGCGGGAAGAGGGCCCCCACCGAATCCTGCGGCCACGGGCGCCACCATGCGGTGGTTCTCGGACATTCAAGTAGCTCTTAGGCCCTTGGTTGGGGGGGAAGCCCATCTCCCTTCAGTGCGCAAGCGCCCCAGAAGGCCGCCTGCAGTTCACACCTGCGCTGCGCTTGCTCAGGAAACCACCCGGAAGCCGGGCGCCCTCAGAGTCCTGCCCTATTGTGGTCACGTGAGGTCTTGCACGTCACCTGACGCTCTTGACAGCCCTTTGCGGGCGCCGCGTCAGCTGATCTTGTAGTTGCGTTGTGTGCCGGCCGGTCGGGGCTCTCTGGTCCCGCCGACCCCGCCGCAGCCATGTCGTTCTTCCCAGAGCTTTACTTCAACGTGGATAATGGCTACTTGGAAGGACTGGTGCGCGGCCTGAAGGCCGGGGTGCTCAGCCAGGCGGACTACCTCAACCTGGTGCAGTGCGAGACTCTCGAGGGTGAGCCGCGGGCCCAAGCCGTGAGGCCTTGAAAGGCCAGGCTGGAGGCCGCCCTGGGCCGGGAAACCGGAAGCAGGGGGGGGTCTTTCTGGGAATCCGGGAGTCGATGGCGGGCGGGAGAGAAGGGGATCTGCCTATAGCTGCGGCTTGGCGTAGGCCTGGACATAAACAAGGCTTTGAGGACTGCAATGGTTCGCATCTGCTTGGACTGGCTCTTCCCGGATTGTGCTGGTCATGTAGTAACTGGGGGTCTCGGGAGTGGTTGGGTCTTGCAAGGTATAAGCATCTTCATGGTGACGTAGCCAGAGAGCTGTCCTGTGGCAACGTTTAGGGAAGCTACGCAGAAAAACCTCCCCACTCCCAAGGCTTTGGAATCATCGTGTGTTGGCATTCGCCTGCCTGGGGATTGCTGAGCCAGTTTAGCTAGAAGTTCTTTTCAACTCTGAACCGCCGGCTGCGCAGTGTCTCCTAAAGAAGTGTTTGGGAAAACAAGGGGTGGCCCCGCAAATCTGGAAGTTCATACACAAGTATTCGTCTAAAAATCCCCCTCAGCAAGGGTGGGGGACGGGTGTCGGGACAGGGTTTCTTACACAAGAGTAGTCAGAAGCTGGGTTCCCCTTTCTTTTAGCTTGCTGCTCCAAAGTCAGAATGGTTTCCTCGTGTGCAGCTGCAACAGATGTCCTAATTCCAGGTCCCTCACCTCCCCCAGATGGTAGTAAAGGGCAGGAATGTGTGTTCCCATCCCTGTCCCCCTAGTGATACCTTTAAGCAGAGGTGCTTATAGCTGAAGGAGGAAGATGGCCAGATGACTCACCCACTGTAGAAAATGATCTCATCAAAAATTTTTGAGGTTAAAAGTGAGCTCAGTTATTATTTAACTTACAAACTAGACGAGTCAAGTGAAAATAAGTACTATTAAGATATAAAACTTACTGAAGTTAAAGTATAATAATTGTAGTTTTTAATATTTTAACATAAAACTTCAATAAAAGTTTACTTATGTGAGTGGAGCGGGGAATGAGGGGAGAAGTGGGGACATGGCTCAGTGGTAGAGTGTTTGCCTGCTGTGCCTGAAGCCCTGGGTTCCGCCCCCAGCACTGGGGAGAAAAGTTCCCAGGGAATGAGGGGAGAACACTTCAGGGTGCAGGGCTCAAGGAGCCCCGCCAGCAACCTGAATTCATTGTGGGAAGAGGAGAAACAGAGGGAGGCTGCCTGGGGCAGGGCATAACACCTAGTTGGCAATTAATATGAATTTTGTGGACTGGGACTGGAGGAAGATATTTGCTTAAATCTAAAGGTTAATAGCATTGATCATCACCTGGCATTCAATTGCTTTGTTTCTCTTTCATCTTTTCTTACTCCTGCTGCTGCCTCCCCCTCCCCTGCACATCTTCTAGGACCATAGGATTCCCATCTTCCCAGCATCCTCCATAATCCTCCATAAATATACTAAGCCATTCTTCCTGCAACACTCTCAGCACGTGGCTCATTTGAACATTTAATATGGCATTTTGGGATCCCTTTTTTTGTCACAAAAGCCATCTCCCCCCAGGACTTGGTGTGGTGGGATTCCGGAGTCAGGCAAACTTGGGTTTGAATTCCAACCCTACCAGTTACTGGATTATTTAACATCTCTGGGCCTTGGTTTCTTCAACTGTATATTAGCAGCATCTATCTCATAAAGAGTGGGAGATGTCAACAAGCTACTGTGTGTAAAACATGTAGCCCAGCACCAAGAACACAGAAAGCTCCAAGGACAAAGTGAGCACTCAGTAAATGTTTGCTTGTGTTTTCCATATTATTTTGCCTTTTGCTCTCTTTGCTTCCTTCTTGTTTCCATGAAGGACAGCCCCAATATCACCTCATCTTAGAAACTCTCATTGGCCAGGCTAGGCTAGAATGTTGTTCCCTCCACTCATTCACAACTCCTATGGCATTTGGCAGTGCTACTTTTCTAGAAGTTTCTTGACATAGAGTTTGGGGTTCTTGGGATTTTGTATATTGGGGATGCTCAGGACTTTTCAAGGCTGAGGTTAACTAAAAGCAAGGAGTGACCATAAATTTCATTTGTCTCCTACAGAAAGGCCTTTTCTGCTTCAGAAGATGATACCAAAGGCCTGGCCTCTAGGCTGCTGTTGCTGGATATTTTTGCTTCCCCATCCTTGTGAGAAGAGGGAGAGAAGCTGGAAAGGAAGGCTGTAGTCTCTAATGAGAATTTAGGTGTTTGCTAGGGGATGAAGTTTCCAAGGAACATGTTTCAGGTGTTGGACAGTTCTCAGAAGGTGTGGGGCATTTGGCAAGGGGTGTTTATTTGTTTTGTAAGGCAGGGCAAATATAGTATCCTGGCCTTCTCTGGGTTCCATTCTAGCAGGGCATCTTCTGGCTGATAGCTGCCTCCTTCTCTCTTAGGACCCCAGAAACCTATGCATCCTCCATTATGCATGTTGCCTGATTGTCTATTCTCAGAAATAGGAGAAAGACCCAAGAGAGGTCATTTTCCTTGGATAAACTGAGGGGACAGAGGTGGGTGGTTAGAAAAGCTCTTTATGGCTCTTAGATTTTCTAGATGTGTTAGATATCTCCTAGAGGCTGGATCCTGTCCTAGGAACAGGAGGAAGCAGAGGCAGATCAGAGATTATGAGGAAAAATTATACAGTATTACTTTGTTTTCATTCATTCAGGTAGTGAGCACCTGTTTATGCCAGGCATTCCAATAGGGGTTGAGATCCTTTGCTGAATGATTTTCTCTTGAGCTTCATAGTCTGGAAGTAGACATCTGCAGAGCAGGGGAAGACCTTAAGAAATCAGTGTAGTGTAGTGGTTACAGAGGCAGGATTGCTAGCTACCTCATTGCCCCCATGGCCATAAGTAAGGTATGTAACCTTTTTGTCTTGATTTTCATCATCTCTAAATTTATAGTAATAATAGCACCTACCTCATGGGGTGGTTATCACTTAAGCAAGATAATCTCCATTAAATTGCTGATTAGTCCATTTTTGTTGTAGCTAATAATACAATTCCACATGCTGGGTGAGTTATATAGAAAGGAACTTTATTTTGGCTTACAGTTCCTGGAGGTACCAGTTTGAGGACCACCACATCAGAGTCTGAGGTGGTGCTGGGCATTAAATGGCAAGAGATAGGAGCACGTGTGTGTATGTATGACTTCTGTTTTCTTTCTTTGTTGGAACTGGGGATTGATTCCAGGGTGCTTTACCACTGAGCAACATTCCCAGCTCTTTTTCACTTTTTATTTTGAGATAGGGCCTCTCTAAATTGCTAAGGTGAGCCTTGAATTTGCAGTCCTCTTTCTTCAGCCTCCCAAGTCACTGGGATTACAGGTGTGCAACATCACACCTCTCCCTTTTCTTGTAAAACCACCAGGATTCAATCTTGGGTGCTCCACCCTGATGACTTTAATCCTAATCACTTTCCTGAGGTTCCACCCTCTAAGCGCTGTTGTCAGATTAAGTTTCCACGCTCTTAATATCTTACAATGGGGATTAAATAACACATGAAGCCTTGAGGGACATTCAAACTATATCCAAACCATAGCAAGTGCTTAGCATGAACTTGGGTCATGGTAGAGTCTTGGTGTGTTAGCCCCTAATTTTGTTGTTGTTATTAAGTAAGAAAAAAAAGATCAAATATAATTTACAGTGAAGAAGTGATAGGGAATCTTCTTTTGACAGCATGGCTGGTTAAATTTCTGCTGAGATGTGAAGAATTAGGAGCCAGTCATTTAGACAGCTAGGGGGAAAAGCATTTCAGACAGAGAGATCAGCAAGTGAATGTATAAATAGTCAGGCCATTCATAGGGACCAATAGGAGACCCCAGTGGCAGGTTGTTGGCACTAGAGTATAACTCTTCTTGGAATCCAGATTTTTTGAAAAAAAAAATCAGTCTGAACCCAGGGGAGGAAATCTCTGGCTCCTTAGGACTGGGTATGAGGGCAGAAATAGTGAGGGTAAAGAATATCAGCTTCAACAGAGGCCTGTGGAATTTGTTGAATGTGTCTAAATGAATGTGTTTCAGACCAGAGGAGTAAATGTAATGCAACTTCCA